CTCTTTAACTTTTTTTTTTTTACCCTTTAACTTTCTAAGCATAATATCTTTTTCCAAGGACTGGCTACTCCCAAGAAGATGTCCAAAGTATGTGAGACAAAATGGCATCATTCTTGTCTCTACAGAGCACCCTGAGTGTACATTGTCTAGGACATATTTGTTTATTAATTTGGTAGAGCATTTGATATTTGGTACTCTTGTCCGACACCAAAGCTCACAGGCATTGATTATTCTGTTATCCTTAATCTTTAATTGTCATCCAACTTTCAGATGCATAGAAAGTAATTGAAAAGTCTGGTTTGGAGCAGGGGCACATTTTTTGTGGGCGATCTGCTCCAGGTGTTTTTCTTTGGCCTCCTTCTTAGCGTACTCTGCAGCCTCCTCCTTATTCTCCTTAAAGCACTGTTTCTTCGGAGAAATGCACCTGCATTTGTGCTGCAGGATACTTGGAGTAACAAGATGCTGAATCTTGGGCACCTTGGTCCTGGGCTTCTTGCCTTCTTTTGTTCAGTGGCTTTCTCATATAGTGACAGACTTCATCTTCCTTAGATTGGAGAGTTTGCAAATTCTGCTGGCTCCTTTGGGTCCCAAGCGATGAGACACAGCATTATTAGTCTTGGAATATCCTTCTCCCCTTTCCTCACAATGATCAAGATGAGAACACTCAGATTGACATCCACAATGCAACCCTACATTTCTTATCTCCAGTTCTCCATGATCTTTAACAGCAGCACGTGAACTTGACCACTGGTCAGCACACTTTGCCTCATGGGAAAACCTTGTTTGTTGAGTCCACCACTGGTTGGGACCACATACTCCTTCCACTCATCACCCAGAGAATCAGCAGCAACTTCCGTAGCCATTCCCTTCCTGTAAAATGTACATATAAAGGACAAGATCATCATCCACTTTAGCCTGTGTCTAAAAGGAGATGCTCTGCTTCATGGAGATGCAGCCAATTGCTCCAGGGGTGCCATGAAACAGAGCATACACTGGGGCGGGGAGGGGGGTCTTGGCTTTTTAAATTTTCTTACTGAGATTTACACACATTGGTTTTTAAACTGACATCGCTGCTCTTCAGGACTTTGAAGGGGTCCTTGATAACAAATTTCCTCAGTGCAACACATCTTTTGATTTCTTGACTGTTAGTACCAAGGGTGCTGATTTGGATCCAAGTAAGATAAAATCATTGATAGTTACAGTCTTTTCTCCATCCATCATGAGGTTGCCTGTTGGTCCTAAGGTGAGGACTTTTGCTTTTGTATGTTGAGGTGTAGTTCATATTGAGGGCTGCAGTTACCAAGGGTGCTGATTTGGATCCAAGTAAGATAAAATCATTGATAGTTACAGTCTTTTCTCCATCCATCATGAGGTTGCCTGTTGGTCCTAAGGTGAGGACTTTTGCTTTTGTATGTTGAGGTGTAGTTCATATTGAGGGCTGCAGTTTTTGCTCTTCAGCAGCATTTCCTCTTCACTTGCTCAAGGGAGTTCTAGTGGCTTGTTGGTAAGAAGTCACACTGCCATTTCCCAAGCAGGTTGTGTCATCTGCATAAAGCCAGTTGGTGATGAGTCTCCCTCCAATCCTGATGCAACAATCTTCATATAGCCAAGATTCTCAAATGATTTACTCAAGGTACAGATTGAATGAATAGAGAGAAAGGACATAGCCCTTACTCCTCTCTTGATTTTAATCCATGCTGTGTTCTCTGGTCTGTTCTGACATAGTTTTCATATAAGCACAATTAAGTGTCCTAGGATTCCCATTCTTCTCAATGTTAGCAATAGTTTGTTATGATCCACACAGTTCAATGCCTTCACAGAGTGAATAAAACACAAATAGGCATCATGTTATTTGACGCTTTCATCAAGCTACAGAAAAATGGTAATGTAACTTTTAAAAATAGAGTATTTGGGGGTAAGGGGCAGAACTCTGGTGGCCTAGTGGTAAGAAGCTGTGCTGCAACCCAAAGGCACATAACACAGTTCGAATCCACCAGCTGCTCTGTGGGAGAAGGATGAGCAGTCACCTACCACGTGATTTACTACCTCTGAAACCCCATTGGAGGGTCAGCCATGAGTTGGCTCTGCCTCCATGGAACACAACCTTATCCTTTATAGGCAATGTGGGTGGCTAGTTTGTAGGGAGTTGTGTTGCTTACCTCGAGATCGCACCTTTCTGAAGGAACAAATCCATTGGTGGCTCTTGGAAACAAAGATGGACAATCTCCTTCTGTGCTAATTACAGCCTCAGAAAACCCACTGAAGGGTCAGTCTTTTCCAGCCCTTTGATAGTCACATACACTAAAATGTCATTTTAGAATCACTCACTGATTTGCCATGATTCTGGGCAAGCAATTCTTTTCAAAACATAAATAATTTTAATTCCTATTTCCCTGTTGTTTTGTCTCCCAAATTCACTGTGGCTTAATTTTCAGTTTCCTTTTTTGTACTCATGAATGCCCTTCATTCAAAAGGATTATTTTCTTGTTTAACTGTCAAAAAATATGTTCACACTTCATAGTTCCAGAACATTGGTTAATGACAATTTCCATGGAATTCTATCCAACTAAATTATACACATTGCAAAACCATTTTGCACTATGAAAGATACCAACCTTCTTCATGTCACAACCTTTCACAGAATCATTATTTCTGTAGAAATCTGCACATCCTTTCTTTCTTGGTTCAGCTACAGTAAACAAAAGATATGTGGCATTGGGGAAATCTGCTCTCAAATACCTCTCCATTTAAAGACTATAAAGTTTCCTTGATTCAACCATGGTATTTTCATTGCTTTGTATACATCTGGACATTGGTTAATGAATAAGGAGGACAGAAGAGTAGATGCATTTGATTTCTAGTGTTGAAAGAGTCCTGAGAATGATCTGGACTACAAAAAGAACAAGCAAATCTGTCCTGGAGGAACTGCAACCAGGATGCTCCTCACAAGCATGGTGAAAGTTGGTCTCACTTAGCACATTGTCAGAGGGGCCAGTTCTTGGAAAAAGACATCAGATTGGGAAATGTAGAGGGTCAGAGAGAAAGGAGATGACCCTCAACCAGACGAGTGACACAGTAACTCTAACAATAGCCTTGAGCATGTCAGACTGCACAGGCTGAGGATTAATCTCAAGATTAGAAGGCAATGTGGCAGGCTGCTGGCTCGAGTCCCAAGAGCTGGAGGTCCAATGATGAGTGCATCAGTCACAGGATCCATAGTAAACAAAAAACCAGAGAGCTTTACATGAACATCCATGTGAAGTTAGTACAGGGTACAGCACAACATTGAAAAATCTCCTTTTCAACTAACTGACTGGCAGCTCTTAGCGCATCTCATCATCGAAGTGATCCCATTAGATGCGTTTCACCAGGAAGTTAACTACCTCACTGTAGGACAGCTATTCCACGACTGTCAAATGGAGAATCATGACTGTGCCAAGTCCACACCCAACCTTAACTGTAACACTTGCTTTCTCCTGATAGCCTTGTTTGGGCCATCTGCTTGTTGGGCACATTCTAATCTCCATTTTCCCTTGAAGAAATAAAGGCTCTTGATTTAAAGGATATTCGTGTCAGTAATGATGATTTCAATTTTATACAAATGTTGGGTCTGTGGTGACCTAAAAGCCCTTAAGTAAGGGACACTCGATTTTTCTACAGGCCTCCGAAGTTCACTATCATGGAGCCAGTTCTGACTCAGTGACTCCTATCAGGTTTGCAACCTTTCAGATGAGAGTGCAATAGTAGTACACAATACCACGTGCAGGTCTTCCCCAGCAACAATAGCAAACAAAGTTCAACAGAGCAGCAAGCAACAAATGTTGGTGAAGTTGTGGAGAGATTAAAAGCCTTGTTCACTCCTGGTCAGAGTGTAAAATAGTGCAACCGCTATGAAAGGTGGTCTGGTGCTTTCTCAAAAAGTTGGAAATAGGAATACCGTTTGACCAAGCAATTCCACTCCTGGGAATATACCCTAAATAAAACAGAACTTCCAACCAAACAGATGTATGCACACTCATGTTTATTGCACACCCATGTTGACATGTTTATTTACAATAGGAAAGAGATGGAAGAAACCTAAGTGCCCATCAACAAATAAGTGGATAGGAAAACGATAGTATATTCACACAATGGAATACTATGCAGCACTGAAAACCAATGAACTCGTAAGCCATTACACAACATGGGTGACCTGGAGGACATTAGGATGAGTGAAATATCTCAGTCACCTAAGGACAAATACTGTATAGCACCAGCGCTATAAAACAGAACTGACTTGGGGGGTTGGGCGGAGAACAGGAAACAAGTCAATAGATAATGAACACTGCATTGGAACAAATGAAGGAAAGAACTGTTTAAAAGGAATATATGATTTGGCATTATATGTATGACAACGTTCAAGAATAAGAGGCACATTGCAAAGTGAGCTGGAGGAGGAAGGCAAGAAAAGAAAACTGGGGAGGGATAAGGAAGGAAAGGAGGAAAATGTGCAACAATGAATGACTGAATGAAAATCTAACTTTCTGTAAACTTTCGTTAAAATCACAATTTAAAAAATTGATTAAAAAAACAACATCCAGGGGAGCTCTGGTGGCCTAGTGGCAAGGCGCTGCAACTACAATCCCAGAGGCACACGGTTCGAATCCACCAGATGCTCTGCCGGGGAAGGAGGGACAATCTCCTTCTGTACCAGTCAGATCGGATTTGACGGTACACGCACACAAAAATAAAAAATAAAAACAAAACAAAACAAAACAAAAAAAACACAACAACAAACCACCACCCCAGGACTTGACGCAGTTCCACAGCCAAACCGCCAGATGGCAGTACAGGGAGAGAGCCTCTTAGGGGCCGGCGGCCTTAAGCCTCTCTTGACGCGCCTCTCAGTTGTGGAAGAGGAAGCGAGCACGTGGGGTCCTACGGCGGCTGGGAGGATGTCGCCACTGCTGTAGCTGCAGCAAGGAGGATAGAAGTGTTTTGGGTTCTCTGAGGAACAACGTTTCTCTTCTTCGATTCCCGGAGTCCGACGAGGGACCGCAGCAGCCGTCAGAATGGTGAAGGAGCAGTTCCGGGAGACAGATGTGGCCAAGAAAATGTAAGATGGAGCCAGAGCCCAAAGGAAGGAGGGGATTTAGGGAGCCAGAGGGTCGAGGTCAGAGGTTAGCGACTGCTGGCAAAGGAAGGCAAGGGATTAGTACAAGAGGTAAAAGTGAGGTTTAGGATAGCGGGGAGCACCAGGCAGAGAGGACTGCAGCGCAGCGGGGGACACGGCTCGGGAGGGGAGGGGAGGTCAGGATGAGGCGTTGGCGTTGGCGGCGCGGGGACCTGGAGCCAAGGAAGCTCGAGTCCAGCAATCACCCCCTTTTTTGCGACTCCCGCCAGCTGTTGCGTGCGGAGAGCTCCGGAGCCCAGGCTGCCTGTAACTCAGACTTTGCCTGAGTGCCTGTCTCCGAGGCGGTGTCGCTGACTTTCGGAATGGGCTTGCCAGCTGCGAAGCCGCTCCACGGGTAGTTAGTCTCAGCTCCTGGAGAGAGGATAAAAGGCACTCAGGCGTCGAGGGCTCTCCTTCGTAGGGTCGCTATGAGTCGCTTGCGACTCGACGGCACTTAACAACAACATTGATAAGGACACAGGTCCTCAGAGCTCCCAGGGTAAGAGTAGCATTTAGAGTGTAACACGAGATTGCCCATCTTTCTCCCTCAGAGCAGCTGGTAGATCTGAACTATGTATGTGCCTTTGAGATTACAGCACAACTCCTTGCCACTAAGCAATGAGAGTTCTCTATTATTCTTTGTTGTTGGTATGTGCCGTCGAGTCGCTTGTGACTCATAGCGACCCTATATGCAACAGCCCTAAACTCTGCTCTGTCCTGTGCCAATTGCACTGTCTCCGACACTCCCATCCCAATTATCCCAGTCACTGAATCAACCCACCTCATAGAGGGCCTTCCCCTCCTGCGCCATCCCTCCACCCTCCCAAGCATGATGTCCTTCTCCAAGGACCAGTCTCTCCTCACAACATGTCCAAAGTATGTTAGACAGAGCCTCAGAATCCTTGCCTGCAAGGAGCCACCCGGTTTAACCCTTTTCAGGACAAATCTGTTTGTTTTCCTAGCAGTCCATGGTATTCTCAATACTCTTCTCCAGCACCACAGCTCAAAGGCATCAATTCTCCTTCTATCCCCCTTGGTCATTGTCAACTCTCTGATGCATAACAAGTGATTGCGAAGACCATGGCCTGTATCAAACACACCTTAGTCTCCAGAGAGACACCATTGCTCTTCAGTACTTTGGAGAGGTCCCTAGCAGTAGACTTTCCCATGGCAATGCACCTTTTAATTTCCTGGCTACTGATGCCAAGAGTGTTGACTGTGGAGCCAAGCAAACTAAAGCTGTGAACAATCTCAGTCTCTTCACCATCCATCCTGATGCTGCCAATTGGTCCAGTGGTGAGAATCTTTGTTTTCTTGATGTTGAACTTCAATCCATATTGAAGGCTGCAGTCCTTGACCTTCTGCAGCAAGTGCTTCAGATCCTCTTCTGTTTCAGCAAGCAGGGTTATGTCATCTGCATAGGCAGACTGTTGATGAATCTTCTTCCAATCCATGTCACATTTCTCCTCATAAAGCCCAACCTCCAGGAGAAAAGTGCAACAATGAATGGATAGAAAACCAGAATCTCTACAAATGTTCATTAAAATTTGAAGAAAGAAAAAAAAGCCCAACCTCCCAGATTATCTGTTCTGCATATAGTTTGAAAAGGTATGGAGATAGGATACATCCTAGTGTACACCCTTCTCAATTTTGAACCATGCATTGTTTCCTTGCTCCGTTCTGTTGACTGCCTCCTGGTCCAAGTATAGGTTTCGCAAGACGACTTATATTAGGAAAATCTGCTCAGGGACTTCTCCAGAGTACTGAAGAATAACAGTGTCAGTGTAGAGATTAAGGTGTACCTGATCCAAGCCATGATTTTTGCAATTACTTGCTCTGCATCAGAGAGCTGGACAATGACTAGGGTTGACAGAAGAGTTGATGCCTTTGAGTTGTAGTGCTGGAGAAAAGTCTTGAACATACCATGGACTTCAAGGAGAATTAACAGGTCAGTCCTGGAGAGGGTGTAACCAAGCTGTTTCTTGAAGGCAAGGATTTTAAAGCTCCATCTCACATACTTTGGGCATGTGGCCAGGAGGGAGAAGAATATCATGCCTAGAAGGGTGGAGGGACAGTGCGGGAGAGGAAGACCTCAGATGAGATGGATTGACACTGTGACCAGGGCAGTGGGGGTAGGTGGGTCAGAGGCAGTGAGATTTGAGTCAGGGTAGAGCAGAATTCAGAGCTGTTGTGCATAGGGTGACTTCAAGTCATAGTCAACTTGATGGCGCTTAACAACAACAAAGATTGAATTGGTATGAGAAAGGACACTACCCTTTCCTGATTTTAAACCACACAGTGGTTGCCTTGTTATGTTTGGACAACAGTTTTTTAATCTACATATAGATTCTGCATGAGCACAATTAAGTTTCAGTAGGTTTAGTGAAAAAGGGACTCTCAAGCAGCTTTTCCAAGGAACCAAGGCAGAACGTCCCATGAAAGTGCTCTGGTCACAGAGACAACACTGCAGCCAATCACAGGAATGTTCCAAGCACTTGTATGTGGGGTCACCATGGACTGCTGGCTGACTGTGCGGCAGCTAACCCCACACAGGAAATTTACAATTTTACTTTTTTTTTAATTCTGTAGATTGTCTTAACACTTTCTTACTAAGGTCTTTTGATGCACCAAAGGTTTCATTTTGGTTAAATCCTATCTGTGCTTTTGTCATGTCCAGGAATCTCTACAAGGTTGAGCACTGTTTTCCTTATACAAGTTCTAATATCCTAGCTCTTGGGTTTAGGGCCTGATCCTGTGTGCAGTGAGAGGTGAGGCTAGCCAAAATGTGGGTGTAACTGCTCCCTGTTTGTCTCTGCCCCAGAAGCCACATCTGTTTTGGCATGAAGTCCCCTGAGGAGATGCGCCAGCAGGCACACATCCAGGTTGTGAGTAAGAACTTGTACAGCCAGGACAACAACCATGCCCCCTTGCTATACGGGGTGCTGGACCATAGGATGGTAAGACCCACTGCCCTCCATGTACATCCTGCTGGATGATTTGCTGATAAACCTGGGGAGGGCTGCTTTTTGTCTCCCTAATGCTCCCTGTGCTGCTCAGATCCGGTGAGGGGTGTCAGCCTTCAGTCTGCTAGATGCTGATACATTGCAACTTCCTGGTTGATTCTGAGTGACCTAACAGGTGGGAGGGCTCGTCCCACTTTGTTCTCCATTACTCCTCCCTATTTATTTTAATGTGATTTTATCCAAAGGGCACAAGTGAAAAGGATCGTCCATGTGAAACCTGTGGAAAAAACTTGGCCGAATGTCTTGGCCACTATGGCTACATCGACTTGGAGTTGCCTTGTTTCCATGTGGGCTACTTCAGAGCTGTTATTGGCATCTTACAAGTAAGGCCCCTTGTGTCCTTTCCACAGGACAAGTTCTAGTTCTCAGCCAGGGGATGGTAAAACCAGCTGCAAGTTTGGGCCTGATTGGGGATGCAACTAGAGGAGATTTTTAGATTAAATACATAATACTTTTATTTAATATTTGTGATACATTTAAGTGCTAAAAGACTGTTTAATTCTTTATTTTCTTGGAAAGATGATAGATCTGTATTATAAAAAAGTACTCAAACCACTCCTTGTACCCAATGCAACCACAGCTAATGTCCTCATGAGCATTGGTCACCTCTCCAGATGCCAGTGTGTATAGCTATGTCTGCCTCTGCTCAGGGTTCTGGTCAAGAGGGTGGCATTTTCTAAAGGAAAAGATTCCCTTTGTCACTCACTGACTGATGTGTTCTGTTTTAAAAGATGATCTGCAAAACCTGCTGCCACATCATGCTGTCCCAGGAGGAGAAGAAGCAGTTTCTAGATTACCTGAAGCGGCCAAGCCTGACCTACCTTCAGAAGCGAGGCCTGAAGAAGAAAATCTCTGATAAGTGCCGGAAAAAAACCATTTGCCACCACTGTGGTTCTTTCAATGGTGAGTATGACGTTTGAAGTGCTTGCTGACCCTTCACACCTGCACGCCTTGTTTGTTTGTGGCTTTTCCGTGTATGTGAGGTCACCCTGCACTGTTGGCCACTGACGCGCTGTTGGAACTGCACCTCTCATCTCTCATGGCTGCCATGTTCAGTTGTTTGAGTGGCCAGATTACAAACTCTAAACCTAATTACCTTTTTCCTTTCCTTCTTTTTTTTTAACCTTGGTTTTCTAAATACATCAACCCAGGTACTGTAAAGAAGTGTGGATTACTGAAGATAATTCATGAGAAATACAAAACTAACAAGAAAATGGTGGATCCGATTGTCTCCAATTTCCTTCAGTCTTTTGAAACAGCTGTTGAACATAACAAAGAAGTAGAGCCCCTGCTGGGGAGAGCCCAGGTGAGCCTGAAGGTGCACACGTGCCCTGTACCTGCCTACCTCTAGCATGGTCTTAGTTACCTAGTGCTGCTGTGACACAAATACAGTAGCACTATGAACAATCGATCTGAACCTTTGCCTATCCTGCACCATCCCTACAACAATCTCCCTCAGACTCAAGCCCATAGTTGTGGTCACTGTGTCATTTCATCTTTTTATAGGTCTTCCTCTCCTTCTCTGACACTCTGCTTTCCCCAATACCATGTCTTTTTCCCAAGACTGGCTCCTTCTGGCAACAGGAATAAAGTATGAGAGGTGAAATCTCACCATCCTTGCCTCTAAGGAGCACCCTGGTTGTATTTCCTCCAAGACAGAGTTGTTTATTCTTTCTGCAGCCTAGGGTGTATTCAGTACTCTTTGCCATCACCATAATTCAGAGACATCTGTTCTCATTCATGGTCCAGATTTCAGGTGCATTGGAAGCAGCTGAAAATATCTTGGCTTGTATCAGGCACACCTTAGTCTTTAAACGGATATCCTTGTCTTTTCAAAGCACTTTAAAGAAGTCTTGACAGCCATTTTCCCCAATGTAACACGGCTTTTGCTTTCTTAACTGCTATTACCGTGAGTACTAATTGTAGATCTCAGTAAGTTGAAATCATTGACAACTTCAGTCTTCTCTCCATCTATCATAATGTTGGCTATTGGTCTATTGGTGTGGAATTTTGTTTTCTCAATGTTAAGATGTTGATATTCTTCACTGTTTGAGGTCTTCTTCCTTTCTATAAGCAAAGTTTTATCATCCTCATATTGCAGGTTGTTGATGAATCTTCCTACAATTGCAATACCTCATTCTTCTTAATAGAATCCAGCTTAGAATGATTCTGCTCATTAAGGAGGCTAGAAGTCCTCTAAGCAAATATAGTCTCTCTGTCCACTTTGTCATAAGCCTCTTGTCCCCTCTTTGGTAGCCTCAGAGTTCTTCAGTTTTTGGCAGTCTTCATGTGGCATCTGTTTTCTTCCACTGTGTATACTTTTCTGTTTAATCTAATCTACTAGAGCTCTGGTGGCCTCATGGCAAGAAGCTGCACTGCAATTCCAAAGGCACACCGCAGTTTGAGGTCACTACCTGCTGCTCCCAGGAGAAGGATGGTCAGTCATTGTCTCTGAAAACCCACCAGAGGGTCAGCTATTGGCAGGTTCCAACTGTGTGGTACATAACAACAACAATCTAATCTTTTAATTTAAAAAACCCTCATTGCTGTCAAATTGGAACCAACTCATAGCTGACTATCAGTGGTTTACAGAGGCTTTAAGTTGCATGGAAGGTGATAACCTATCTTCTGAAATCTAATGTAATTTACAGTTAAGTTATAAAAATAACTTTCAGAACTGATTACATTTAGGGCTCACCCTATACCAATACCCTTGTTAACTGACAGAATCTTGTTTCTAGATAGAATTGCTTCATAGCTAATCTTTTACTGGCTTTCTGAGGCTGTAAATTTTAAGGGAAGAGATTATCCTTCCTTTGCCCTTGGGGTTCTTGGTGGATTTGAACTGCCAGAGAACTGTATCCTGTAGTTTAGTAGCACAACTCCCTGCGCTCACAGCACGACAGACTGTGCCGCAGTTATTGTACGGTCCCATAAAGTTCACTCCCACCCATGGTGACCATGTAGGACCCTATGTGCCCTATCCTGTGCCAGCCTCACCACCTCCCCCATGCTTAAGCCTGTTCTCTCTGTTAGTCCAGGCCATCTTGTTTTGGAATTCTTCCTCTCTTTTGACAACCCTCCACTTTTCGAGCGTGGTGTCACCCTCTCCAAGGACTGACCCTTTCCCGACAACTTGCCCAGAGTATCTGAGATAAAATGTCACCGTCCTTGCCTCTAAGGGGAACCCTGGCTACATTTCTTCTGAGACACATTACCAAAAGCTGGTTGTGTGTGATGCTCACAGGCTCCCTGGTGCCTTCTGAATACCTGACCTGTGGGGGGGCATCAGGAACTGCGGACACTGAGTCTACTTTCACGAGCATGCAGCCATTGAGGTGAAAACGAACAAGCTAGAGTGCTGCCTGTCACAGGAATGATACGGGCAGCAATTTCAATGGGAAGATGGAAGAAGGAAGGATAATTTTGGACCTGGTGCTTAGAGAGGCCTATGAGGAAAGGTGTGGGCTTTAAAGATTTGGCCACAAAATTGATTGCAGAGTCCAAGTTAGTGAAGATGTACGTCCAGGACTGTATAGTATATAGGTTCATTCTAAAATGGGAAGCTTGTTTGAAAGACCAAGAAGCACATTCATAACTTCAGCTTACATTTAGTGCTTGCTGTTATGCGCAGGTGATTTTCTGAGAGGGAACACCCGTGAACGGAGCAGGTAGAGTCTGTGCTCCGCTGCTCTGTTCTGAGATGTGTTGAGCTCTTAACTCCAAGAGTCTGACCTCTCTGGTATTTCAGATCCACCAGCAGCTCCACAGGGGAAAGATGGACAGTCTCTTCCTTTGCTGCCTAGAGCCTCTGAAAACTTGATGGCAGTAATACTGACTTTTTTTACTTTCCTTCAAAAGCTAATGTGTATTTGTACCCTGTTTCAGTACCAACTCAGGGATTTGATGACCTAAAGATGAGACGTCTCATGAGTCCTGTTTCCCTCAGCAGAGGGCAGTCCCAACATGGTGTTAGGATGGTCCTAGCATCCTGAGTGACCAGTGTTCTTTTTCACTGTGATTATATTGCCACCAGATGAAGCAGCATGCTCCTCTACCATCTGAGAACCCCATTTAAAAAAACATATAAGTGTGTATATATATATATCTCCTGGTTTGATGTGTATTACTGCTCTTTTCCCTCCAAGAGCGAGTGTCCTTGAGCCTTTGCCTAGGGTGGAGGTCTGCTCAAAGTTGTGGTTTTAAAATCTATAAAATCTTTCAAGGCCCTTGGGCCTGTGGCCATCGGGCTAAATTGATTTGTCTATATGCTGATCTGAACAACTTGGTGTGGCTGTGGTGCTGTGCCCTGTTCCATAGTCTTCTCAAATACCATAATGGTTAGCCGTTACGTACAATGTTTGGGTGAGCTTCCAGATTGATTCATGCTGGGAAGCAATACTGGCATCCATTTCCTAAACTGGATGCCTCTGGAAACTCTACAAAGTCTTTAAACTCTACAAACTCTCTAAAATCTCTAATGTACAGAAATGATGTTAGTTACAGAAGAGAATTCAGGTCTTTTATGCAAAGCTTACTCTCAATTGTATTCGATTTAACAACACTTAACCACTGCTAAATGAAACCAGTGCAGTTCTATCTGGAGGAACACATGTGTAGTGTGAAATAACCTGGGTTTGCTGTGATGCTGAACTTTGTACCATTGGGTTATCAAATACTGGGATGGTTTCCGAGTATGGACAGTGTTTGGTGGAGCTCCTAGTTGTAAAACAGGTTTAGAAGCAGGAGTGGCATCCACTTCCTAAACCACTTACCTCTGGAAACTCTTTGAACTTGGAGAAATGATGATAGTTATGGAAAGACATTAGGTCTTTTGTTCATAGAGTCACTATGAGTCGTGCTCAACTCAGCGGCAATCAACAACAACATATCCCCCTTGAATTTTCTTTATCACACTGATTTCCTTTTTTTAACTGCTCTTGCCAAGAGCTCACTTCCAGATTCTTGCAGAGTCCTGTGCCCTCCTTCAGTCCATGGTCTAGCGAGATCCAGTCTTTGTCTCACACCTTGTTTTTGTTATTGTGTACCATTGAGTCAGAACCTGCCCATAGTGGACCCCTCTGGCGGGTTTTCAGAGGCAGTTAATCAAATCACACAGGAGATTGTTCATCTTTCTCTTGCAGAGCAGCTGGTTGATTTGAAGCATGTGGCTTAGGGGTTGCAGTGTAGCTTCTTGCCTCTAGGCCGTCAGAGCTTCCTCACCCCTAGACTGCTATTAATTTTACACCTAAAATTTGTATGTAACTGCCTCAGGTGGGAGCTCTTGTGGCCTTGGCCTTGCTGCTACCCCAGAAAAGTCAAGCCTGTCTGGTCATTTGACTCAACTAGTGGTTTTGTGGGAGAGATGACCACTCTTCTCTTGTGCAGCTTACTACAGTGGAAACCCGTGAAGGTCAGCTCTGAGCTGGTTCCAAACAAAGCCTCATGTGATGGGAAGATGGTCTTAGCTGTGGGACAGGCAGATTGTGGAGGGAAATTCTGCTTTGGACAAGGTCTCTCTGGAGGAATTCCCTCTGCCTCCCCAACTGCAACCTCAAAGTGACCTGTAGTACTTTATCTTGTTGTAGTAGTCTGTGTGCTTTCCCCCGCCTTGTCAGTTATGTAATCTCAGATGCCTAGAATATTTATCAAATAGACAATAGGACACAGCTGGCTATTGTTAGATCTTTGACATGCATTGCAAATTTACATAGATCCCATAATAGGATTAAGTGGTTACAGCATAGTATTTTTATGAAAGTGTATGAATTTGTGACTGTAATAAAAACTCATTACAGACAAATACAAAAGAGAAGCAAAACAATTTAGGTTCTTTCTCATCTGAAAATAGTCCTTGAGGTATTTTGGTCACACTACCCAAGTCCTTTTCTCTATTTCTCCCTAGAGTGGTGGTAGATACATTCTTATTTCACATTCCAATATTTTGGGAACATTTGCCATGTTAATAGCTATGTTTTTGTGGTTCTGTTTTTCAGTAACTTCATTGTTTTTCACCTGTAGATCTATCATAATTCACTAAAATGATTTCCAACTTTTCCCAAGGGAAAACAACTTTAGTGAACATTTCTATCACTGAATCTTTGTGTTCATTTCTAAAGTGGTAGCCTTTGAAATGATTATAAGAAGTAGAATTATTAGTTTAAATACTTGGATAATGAATAGGCAAGCACATTTTAAAGATTCTGAACATGTCAATAGAAATGTCTTACCATCAGCTGTACTCATTTTAGCTTTAATGACATTTCTTTTAGAGGAGGAAGTTAGAGCTTTATAAAATTATAACATATTCTTTCTTTTCCATAGGAAAACCTGAATCCCTTGGTGGTTCTGAACTTATTTAAACGCATCCCAGCTGAAGACATCCCTCTGCTGCTGATGAACCCAGAAGCTGGCAAACCATCCGATCTGATCCTCACTCGGCTCTTGGTTCCCCCTTTGTGCATCAGGCCCTCTGTTGTGAGTGATTTGAAGTCTGGAACCAATGAAGATGATCTGACAATGAAATTGACAGAAATAATTTTCCTAAACGATGTCATTAAAAAGGTCAGTATTTGCCATTAGCCTTTTTTTTTCTATTTTTATAACATTTTATGACCTTTTATGGCCTTTTTAAGATTTAAGTTTTGTAGCATATCTATACCAAAATGACCAGGCATGATAATTGATCTGAGATGCCATTACTGAACATTTTGATCAGAGATTCTATAGAAGATCCTTATTGTGGGAATGGGGAGATACAAAACAAAAGGTGAAATTCCCATCCACTCCAGACTTTTCTGGCACCATAGAAGATCCAAGATGAACCCTTGAAACTAATTGCCCTGAGATAATCTCAAATTAGATAACAACAAAAATGAATTCTCTCTGGTTTTCATTCTGCCATGAGCATTATGCTTCTTTAAGATGTATCTGTATAAGTAGTGCAACAATGAATGAATGGAAATCCAAAATTTCTGTAAATGTTCATTAAAATTAATAAAACAAATTTTTTTGTAAACAAAAAAAAGATGTATATAGGATCAGAGGTAGCAAGCTTAGGGGGCAGAGAGTTCAGAGTGGAGGACGAGCAGGGTGAGAAGAGCAGCATTTCAGAAGAGCAGGGTGAGAAATGGCTGTGCAGCCTGAAGGAACGGTCCATGTTATATTATTCATGGAGACGCTGTTAAATTGATGTGTGTTTTGGTGTGTGTATAATTAGAAACAACAAATTTTTTTTTTTTTTAAAGTAAAAGTGACCGTAGAAATGCTGTTGTTTCTGTTGATTCTCTGCTCATTTCCAGCATCGGATATCTGGAGCCAAGACCCAGATGATCATGGAGGACTGGGACTTTCTGCAGCTGCAGTGTGCACTCTACATTAACAGCGAGCTATCCGGCATTCCCCTCAACATGGCGCCCAAGAAGTGGACTAGAGGCTTCGTCCAGCGCCTCAAGGGAAAACAGGGTATGTTTTGGACGAAATGTACAAGGGGTGAACTTTTGCTCTTGGTAATTTTTTTTCCTTATTTTTATTGATATGCATTTAATTATTCATTCATGTACATAGTGGGGGGTGTCAAACTTTTCCTTCATTGACATGTTTCATATAATCATTCCCATACATTGTGTTTTATAAAAGTAATCACCATTGGGTGAATGTCCACCATTACCCTGTCTTTTCTGGTCCCTTCTGAATCTTTGCTTTAGCCCCTCCCTTCACCCACCAAATTGTTTGACCTGTAATTTCTCCCGCCCATCCTTACCCTTCTCCCATCCCATCCTCTTTTGGGCTCCCCATACACATTTTACTAGTTTTCCTCCTATTTTTACAATAATGGTCTTATTCAGTACTTGTCTTTATGAGATTTAGTTTACTCAACATAATACTATTCAGTCTTTCCCAAGTTAAGTAGTCTTTTTCAAAATCATCACACTGGTAAAAGGTTTTTTTTAAGACTATGCATTCTTGTAAGTGGTATAGCACTGGTCTGTCCATTTTCTGTACAGTGATAACTTGTAGTTGCTGTGATGCTGAGCACTGTGACATCGATCTGTCAAAAACAATAATGGTTACCTATGGTGGACAGTTCTGTTGTGTTCTGTTGTACATAGGGTTTTCAGAAGCCTGCTATTTTAGAAGTGGATGGCCAATCTTCTTCCTAGTCTGTCTCAATGTGAATGTTCAGATTTAGAGAAGTATCAGACCAGCAAGTTAAAGGTATATCCCTTATTGCGGAGTTAACTTTAGTGTCAGTGTTGTCCCTGCCTTTCTCACACATGTCTTTACCCACTTATTTCCCTGCTCCACCATCCACCAGGATAACCCATCCACTTCTACCCCCTCCCTTCACATCTATCTCCCTTTGACCAGCCCTCCATCTAATAACTTATATATGAAGTTCCATGGCTTCTGTGATTCCCAACACATCAGCTGATGGTAGTTCCTTATGTTGGGATCAATGTCTCTGAAGTTTAGTCGTAATGTTTCCCGAGCAAAGTTGATGCGTCCTGTAGAACTGGTATTGAGAATATCATGGACTGCTAGGAAAACAAACAGATTTGTCCTGGAAAGGGTTAAACCAAGTGGGTCCTTGGAGGCAAGGATTCTGAGACTCCGTCTAACATACTTTGGACATGTTGTGAGGAGAGACAGGTCCTTGGAGAAGGACATCTTGCTTGGGAGGGTGGAGGGATGGCGCAGGAGAGGAAGGCCATCCATGAGGTGGATTGATTCAGTGACTGGGATAATTGGGATGGGAGGATGGGAGTGTCGGAGACAGTGCGATTGGCACAGGACAGAGCGGAGTTTAGGGCTGTTGTGCATAGGGTCGCTATAAGTCGCAAGCGACTCGACGGCACATAACAACAACAACAACAATGTTGGACAGTGTTTAGTGGAGATCCCCGATTAAAACAAGCTTGGAAGCAGGAATGGCACCCACTTCTGAAATAGCTTGCCTCCAGAAACCCTATGAACTTGGAAAAAAGTTAAAAGTTAAAGTAGTGTTCAGGTCTTTTGTTCATAGGGTCGCTATGAGTTGCCTATGACTCAATGACAATTAACAACAGCAACAGTAGTGACATAGTATATATTGCATATTGGACTGCTAACTGAAAGATCAGCAGTTCAAATCCACCAGCCCCTCCTCAGAAGAAAGATGAGGCACACTGCTCTCACTAAAATTTACAACTTTGGTTGCCTGATGCAGCATCCCCGCGAGTTGAACTTGACTCTACAGCAGTAGAGTTGGAGATTATGTGCAGCTCTTCTCACTGGGGATCAGAGCCTTTCTTCAGTTCGCTGTCATGTTCTATGCCATTGGGTTCCATGACATGCTTTCCTCTTTTTAGGTCGATTTAGAGGCAATCTCTCAGGAAAGAGAGTTGATTTTTCTGGCAGAACAGTCATCTCACCAGACCCCAACCTCCGCATTGATGAAGTAGCCGTGCCAGTTCATGTGGCCAAAATTCTAACTTTTCCTGAAAAAGTAAGCAGTATCCACCTACCTTAGGTTCTCATTTTGAATGAATACTATTTAATTTTGATAAATACTATCCTGATGTTCTTAACAACAGAATGTAAAGTCTCCAATAGCCCATACAACCCATAGTTTGGTGTGTGTGTGTGTGTGTACCCAATTTTTGTACAAATTTCAAATAAAAAAAACTGAGTAATGAGGCTTGATTATGTACATAATACCTATAACAAAATCACTGTTATGTGTATTTTTATGCATATTTGTATTTATATGTGTACAGTATGTGTGTGTGTATATATATATATACATATATATATTACATATATTGTGTTCTGAAATTTTTTTCAATTAATGATGTTTTGAATATGTTTCTTTGTTGATTCATACCTCTTGTTTTAAAATGAGCTCTGGTGGGTCAGGAGTTTCATTGCTAACCCAAAGACAGGAAGTTAAAATCCACCAACTGTGCCTTGAGAGGACAAGGGACAGTCTCCTCCTGTGTCATTTACAGTCTCTGAAAACCTGCTGGAAGGTCAGCCGTGTGCTGGTTCCAGCCAGATGGCAGCAGCGAGTTTAAGTTTTAAAACCATAGTCAATAAGTAAAAGTTTGAACACTAAAAAATGTTTTTGGTGAAAATATACACAGGAGAACATATTTCTGCATGTAATATTCAAAGGCATTGATTATTCTCTTAAGTTATGTAATGATTCTCGCTACTTTTTCTGAATTACCATCATAAAATAAACTCACTTCTTTTAATCTCTCATCTTAACTTTCGAGTTGCTGTTATCAGCTAGATGCTATGTAATTCTTTAGAAAAACACAGTGCCCAGAGCAAACATTATATTAAAGACGCTAAGCTATTGTAACAGTTCCTTAGATTCATTATATATAGTAAAGTTTTTACTTAGCTCTGGTGGCATAGTGCTGCCAACCCAAAGGCCATGACTCAGGGGTGGTTCAAATCCACCAGCAGCTCTATGGGAGACGGATGTTCTGACTTGATAGCAGTGAGTCTGGAGTTAATTTTTTGTTTAAGATTTAACGATTATCCCATGGTAGTAGGCTCAGGGAGAGGCCCTCCTGCCTTACTGGCTCTGGAAAGCATAGATTGTCATGTTAATTTAAAATTCTATTACATAATTCCTCCTCTGATGAACATTCTTGTGTAGATTCTTTGGTCGAAGCATTTTGTACTGCTAGTCAGGAATTAAATAGTTGTCTGGTCTCATTGGAAAAGGTTTCAGGGAGGCAGTTCGGTCTGACCATTTTGAGGCTAATAGCAGTTGCTCACTGAGAAGTAAGTGCACTAGCTTGCACTCAGTTCCTACTCGTTCTGAGTGTAAAATATTATTCACAGTACTTACTTTTCTTCTAATGGATCTTTATAGGTGCAGGTATGTTAACAGGGAATATTGATTGGCCTTCCCCTTGAGATGCATTAGGTGTTTGGGTGCCACGCGTGTGCCGTGTCCTTTGTGGAATTGCTGATGATATCCGGAAGCCTCTTCCTCTGAAGTGGTGTTCCATGAGCCTGTTGTCCAGGAGGTTAGAGAACACCCATAGCCTGAGAACACCCATAGCCTGTGCAAAGCATTGCCCAGATGTTGCTTTCACAGCTTTTAAACATCCAAAGTGTGTGATAAGTAATTACTCTGGAAGTTACTGTTTCTGTGATCACAGAATGAGTCCTGGGAGGTCCCTATAGATGAATCCTACCCACTCATTTTACTGTTGGTGAAGCCAAAGTTGAGACTGAAACCTAGGCTTCTGGTTGCCACTCCATCCTGTCCATCATCCCTGCCTGTGGACCCCAGACTGCAGGATCCCCAGGGTTGCCTCTCTTGCTATTACAAGATTCTCTTTATAGAAACTTAAGACCCTCAGTGAGATGGATTGATACATGACTGTGTGTAACAGCATTTAAGTATATCAGAGATGATGAGGATGGCACAAGATAGGGTTGCTTTGTATCATATTTGATTCAGTGGAATCTAACATGGCTGTTTTCTTTTTATTGCGATCCTGTAGGTGAACAAAGCAAACATCGATTTTTTGAGGAAGCTGGTTCGAAACGGTTCTGAAGTTCACCCAGGAGCCAATTTTATTCAGCAGAGACATACTCAGATGAAAAGGTAAGGCTTTCCTGTCTGATTACTTAATAGTCTTCATGGTAAAGTTCATTGTTAACTATGCTCAGCTACAGAGTGCAGTCTTAAAAACACTTTATGGTGATACACTTTGGCATGTATAAAATAATCTGTTACATTGCAGTGAGCCCCTCAGTATATGATTGCTTTATTGGATCGTTGAAAATCAATGTAGAGATCAGTTTGCTCACTCGCATTTAATGTTATTGAGTCTTAAGTGGGCAAAATATATCAGGATAAGAAAATTGATCACCTGGTTATTCTGGGCTCTCAGGGATGCCATTGATGCACACCTAATCCAGGAGCATGCATCTTTTCATAGGGATTTTTATCAACAGTCATGTGGTACAAATGGATGCATTGCTGCATTTCATTGCTTCTAAAACATTCTGTTTATAATTTAACATTTCAGCAATTGGACTATATTTCACAATTGATATACTGTGGTTTAATTTACAACCTTTTTCCTTTATTTTGGTGAGACATCAAGTAATGATAGGACTTACAAATGCAAACATCCTCATTGCATAAAGTAGGTTCACATTAAAGATCAAATCATGATTCAAAGAGGGAGTACGTGGTAGGAAACTTGGCTCTCAGAGATCTTGTTCCTTGTTGCTCTTGAAGGTTTTTGAAGTACGGGAATCGAGAGAAGATTGCTCAGGAGCTCAAGTTCGGCGACATCGTGGAGAGACACCTCATAGACGGGGATGTGGTCTTGTTTAACCGGCAGCCCTCACTGCACAAGCTGAGCATCATGGCCCATCTGGTGAGTCCAACCTGCTGGCTTTCCATCACACACGTTTGCTCTGCCCGCTCACTGCTGAATTTTGGATTCCTGAAATAAAAATTTGCCATTCAGCTCTGATTTTCCTAATCTTTCATCTCCCTGTCCTCTCGCTAGGGGTTTGGTTGAGTACCCTTTCAGTGTTTTTAATATTTTTTAGTCCAATATAAACACATATTCATCAGTATTCTTTACAGTACTCATACATAACACTGGAACAGAGAGAATCTGATTAGAAACTAAATGTAAGCTTAACCAGCATGATTTCTTTTGCAAACAAAAAGATACATACATGTATACATACATACATACATATATATGTTGGGTAAAAAATATGGAACAAATTTTTTCTAAAAAAAGCCTAGACTCAATGTTCTGAAAGAGATTGGAGAAGCTCCCAAAATTCTTACTTGAAGATAAGCGTCAGTGAGCTCTGGTGGCCTAGTGACAAGACGCTCTGCTGATAACCTGAAGTCGCACAGTTTGAATCCACCAGATACTCTGCTGGAGAAGGAAGGACAATCTCCTCCTGTGCCAGCTGGATCTGACTCCACAGTGCATAACATGGAGAGAAAAAAAGATAAGCATCTGACTTGGAACTGATGACATTCTGGGAGGCCACCTTTCAGCCAAATGCACACCTGCAAAGAGTGTAGACCTTAGATTGAGATAAAAAAACAGAGAGACCAGGAAGCAGAGAATGAGAACAGAGAGCCATGGGAGGGAGGAACGGAAGCATGCTGATGTTGTAGGGATTGCGACCAATGTTAGGAACCATTTCATGTCTGAATTGTTGACTGGTAAACTGAATTGCATGTAGACTTTCTCCTGAAGCACAGTAAAATGTGAAACCTACACACGTATGTATATATGTATGTATGCACGTACGTTGGTAGGTAGCTCTGGCAGGTAGTCTGTTGGGAGCTGTGTTGGTAACCCCAAAGCCATGCTTCTCTGGTGACTGTGAAGCAGAAGGATGGGCAGTCTCCTCTTGATTTAAAGTCTCAGAAGCCCACAAGAGGGTCAGCCAGGGCGTCAGTTCCCACTCGGAATTGTTTGAGATGCCCATGGCATAGCCCATAGGGGGTTGTGCTGTTGCCCCAAAGGTGGCACCTCTTTGGTGGTTCGAATCCAGTGGTGGCTCCTCAAGAGAATGCTTAGGCACTCTGTTCCTATGCACTTTACAGGTTGAGAAGACCCGCTGGTAGGGTCAGCTATGAATTGGTTCCAACTGCACGGAAGTGAGAGCGCTGAGAGAGCGCACACGCATATGTGCATGGGTGTGTATATATAGAGAGAGAAACTTAAACAAGGGCAGGAAACTGACCTTTGATTTAACTTGGCATTTTAAATAAGAAACTAACATGCTTAAAAGAGGTTTTGTGTGTACAATAAACACCTTAAATTTTATTTTTATATGTGATAAGAGTTTTGCAGCACTAGCAGATTTCTGGAGATTTAAGATGGAAATTAGGATTCAACTTTTGATTTATTGACTCTGAGAACCTCAAACAAGTCAGGCCCTTGCAGTATTACTTTTCTGGATTCAGTGTTTTGAATACATTACGTCAGGGTTTTCCTTTAGTACTGGAAATAGTAAAGAAATAGTTTATGCTTAACAAGTCCTGGTGATGCCATGCTTAAGTGACTGCCCGTCTGAAGCTTTGCACCTTGAATCCACCAGCTGCTGCTCCACAAGAGAAAGATGTGGCTGTTGGCATCTGTAGAGGTTCCAGCACTGGACATTGTGGGGCTGTGAATGGGAGCAGCTCAAGGACAGCTTAACAAGATTTTGTGCTTTTGAGGTTGGCTAATGTCCTCCTTTTCTGCAAGCTTTTGATTTCCTTTACAATAGTAACTATAAAATAGAAACTTGTTTTAAAATGTTAAGTATAAAAAAAGAATGTTAAGTATGTACACAAGTGAAAGGGCTAGAATCCTGAGCGATTTCCTAATGAATGGTGATACAGTGAACGCCCCTGTAGTGCTCCCCTCCAGTCACGGTTTTGCTTCACTTGTTTTATCTTTTGAGCTTTACCTTTTCTTATTTATGAACCCAAGTACTGTGTCTTTTACCCTACGAATTGATTTTACATCTGTAAGAAAAATACGTTTTCTTCCAGAACCACAGTACCATTGTCACACTAAGCAAAACTAATATTTGTTCTGTAGTATAGTTCAGCTCCTTGTCCATATTCAGATTTCCCTAGTTGTCTCAAAAATCTCTTTTTTTAGAGGTTAGTTTATTTAAATCAGGATCCAAACAAAGTCTCCATATTGTATTCGTTGTGTCCTCAGTCTGTTAATTTAGTACCGCGGTCCCTTTTCTGTTTACATTTACATGTACGTATGAACATGATGGGGTCAGGTCATTTGTCATGACGAGTATTCTGAATTGTCAGGATTTTATGTGTGGTCTTGTTTCTCTTTTTATTTCTGTCACCTGGAAATCAACTGGGAAGAGATGATTAGGTACATGCCCACCGTTTAAGCAAGAATAACTGATTGATGTTACTCAATGTTGTTTCAGGAGACATGTGCTGTCTGTGTATACCACTTTTACGTGTTTTTCCTAAATCTGTCATTCCCATCACATTTACAACCTTGAGCTCTTTTTTTATTATTTATTTATTTGTGTGTGTGTACTGTCAAATCGGATCTGACCAGTACAGGAGGAGATTGCCCCTCCTTCACCAGCAGAGCATCTGGTGGATTCGAACCACATATCTCTGGGGTTGCACTGCACAACCTCGAGCTCTTAATGAATCATTTTTCCCTTGTTCACTAGGACTATTTGCTTATTCATAATTATCACTCTTGAAAAGCAGGTAATATAAATGGTAATTCTTTTCTATATCAGTTTTGGGAGTAAAACATTGTTCAGTTACTCCAACTGGCTTGGTTTGATCGTTACTTGTTTGTTTTGACTTTTCCTTTTTCACTGTCATTATCCAAGCCTAAATTCTTACTCACTGTGATTTAACTTGCTTTTGTCATTCATCTTTTGGGTGTTCTAACCGTGACAACATGGGCCCGCCCCTTCCCACTGCCTCCTGTACAGAATTGGTGTTAGGAAAACAGGATTACATGGGTCTGATCTCAGAGCTGCCTGAATGAGTTCACAAGTGACATGCATCACTTAACAGATTATGCTGGAAATTTGTTTTCCGATCTGAAATGTCCAGTTTTCTAGGAAGCTGTATTTTAAAAGACTTTAGATAACTGACTGCATCCTTTTCCTGTTGTTGTGTTGTGTCTTCCAGGCCAGGGTGAAGCCCCACCGGACCTTCAGATTTAACGAGTGTGTCTGTACACCCTATAATGCAGATTTTGATGGTGATGAGATGAATCTTCATCTTCCTCAGACAGAAGAAGCTAAAGCAGAAGCCCTTGTTCTGATGGGGGTATGTAAAGTGTTGAGGCCCAGTGTTAAAGTTACTTGCTGATCCTTACTTAACAAGCAGAGGTGGGGAGGGGAGTGTGTCCTGTTTCGAAACCCACTGAACAGGAGAGTCCAGCAAATTTCTTCTGTTCTTAATACTAACTAGCGATAATATCACTTTATCTCTCTGTACTGATGCTTTCCTTTAAGCCTTAGAACACTGTCTTTGGAGATGATGGGACAGGCATACCTCCTTTTACTGCATTTCACAAATACTGATTTTTGTGGCAGCCTTGCATCAGGCACACAGAGTATGTCATTTTTCCAAAAGCATGTGCTCATTCCATGTCTCTGTCACCGTTTCATAATTCTCACAGCATTTCACACCTTTTCATAATGTTCTCGCATCGTCAACAGATTACAGCCCAAATTCACTGCCATCTAGTCGATTCTAACATGTGGTGACTCTCCATCATTTCTGAGGCTCTGTCTTTTATGGAAGGAGACTGTCTTATCCTTCTGTGGAATAGCTAGATACTGGATTAGAACTGTTGTCCTTTTGGTTAACAGTCCAAAAGACTACACAGTCAGATGACTTTTGTATGAACTGTGAACCAGAAAATTCATGTAGTTGACTTTATTATCATACTCAATGTATTGCAGTGGTCTGGAACTAAACCTGCAGAGTCTCTGCTGTTATAGATGCTAACTCCATCATGTCAGCATGTGACAGTTAGTGTCTAAAACAGGGGCATATTGTTACTTTCTGATCTGCAAATGTGAATTTCCAAGAGAATATACACACTTGTGAAAAAATACATTGTAGCAAGACTGTGGTACAGTATTGCTTATGATCAGGGAAGAAGTTGTTTTACATGATTAGATTTTCTAGTAGTTGGAACCCCCTTAAATACCAGGACATCTGAATAATCTGGAGAAATCCTTCTCAACATGTATAGTATGTTCCTTTTTCTTCTGAAACAACTGATTGAGCATGATCACTCTATATAATAGCTTTTATCATATTTTACTTTACACAAAGTTCAGGAATGCCCATGAAATATTGGAGGGTTCAGTGACAAGTGAGGTGGGACCCTGCCCTGCAGGGGCTTGTGGTTGTATTACAGGTCATACATGTACTGCTAGATGTGCTCTAGAACTTACATATTTTTTTGGTTAAAAATGATCAGTGATATACTTAAAGCTATTTCACTGTATACTTCAAAATGGTTAAAATAGTGAATTTTATGTTGGTAAATTTTAGCACCAAGAAAAAAATGTATTTTTTTTTCCTTTAAAGACTGTGCTCAAACTCCCCAGTGAGATCAGGGTAGACTTTGCTTAGTTAAACTCTGGACAGTTTCCCAAGAGAACGTTTTCTCTCCTTTCCTGACTTAGCAGTCCTGCATTTGGTAGAGCATAGGTGGTGCCTGGGTAGAGCCTGGGTGACTGTCCAGATTACCCAAGAAAGTTTTCCAACATGCACCTGTCTCGATGCCATGCTCTCCACTCCCATCCATAGTCTGCTTGCTCTCACTCCTCACAGTCTTATCCACAAGCAAAGGAATAGCCAGAAAGTGTAGCATGAAGAGGTGATCCAGGTGAGCAGCAGTCCCTACCCTAGATCAGGAGCACTGCTGTGATGAACAGCTCAGGAGGAGACAATCACAAGTCTCCACTGTGAGGACCTTCCCTCTGATAAAGGATGTCCAGGTAACCCATAGTGCACATGACACCTTCTTGCTCGCTGGTGCTCAGCTTGTGATCATTCTCTGTTAACTGGTACCCCTTTTGCCCAGTACTGCACTTCCTAACGAGTTAATTTCTTCTGTGAGCTGATTGCTGCTAGAATTTAATGTCTTAGACAAAACAGACATCATTCTGTAGAATGGAATTGGTCGACATTAGAGGAATCCGAGTTCTCCCCATTCATGGACATGTATTTCGTTGAGAAAGTGAATTTATTAGTAACACCAGTGTCTTATATTTGTAGTATTGTTTATGTGGTTCCATAACCAGTGTACTCACTGTTTCATTTTAGTTGTGGTAATCTTGCTGGTATTATTTTTGCTCTGACAGATAATACTGGGAGTGAGAAACAAGCTGAGAACAAGACCCTGGACTCCTTTCCCTAGCCTCACTTTCTTTCTTCTTCCCTTTATCTGTTAATAACAAAAATTCTTGTTTTGGTTTTTGGAACTGCATGACACATTCAGGAATCGCTAACCTCTTCTGTTGTTTTTCTTTCAGACTAAAGCAAATCTTGTCACCCCACGGAACGGGGAACCACTGATTGCTGCTATCCAGGATTTTCTGACAGGTGAGTTTGTGATGTTACTCAGAAGGAGACATCTATCTGGGTTCCAGTGATTGTTATAATGGACACCGTGACAAAGTCTTTAATTGCCATATTTTGGTGTTTGCTAAGTTTAATTTTAAACCCACTTGAGATATTTTTGTTGGCTGATTATTCATTTCTTCAGCAAGTGTGTGTTGAGTTCCTGCCATGGCTCAGACATTTCTCTGGGGCCTGGAGATAGATACCAAAGCCAGAACACCAGTTGCCACCAAATTGACTCTGACCTCATGTATGTGAGTAGAGCGGCACGCAGTTTGGTTTGCAGTGGCTGGCTTCAGCAATGTGTCTGGTTGTACTAACCGCCAGTCTATTGGGCATCAACTGAACAAGTTAACCGTTCTACCACCACACCCTCCTCACTGGTGTTCCAGCCATGAATAGAAGAACAAAGTCCTTTGTATCTGGAGCTTAGATTTTCATTGGAAGAGAGAACCAATAAACAGCTATATGTCAACTCACTATTTTAGTAACACCTTCCATTCATTTTTAAATGTTTATCGTGGGTTTCTTTATTTTATTTTTTTTAAACTCTCTTAGGTGCCTATCTCCTCACTCTCAAAGATACTTTCTTTGACCGAGCCAAGGCTTGTCAAATCATTGCTTCAATATTGGTCGGCAAGGATGAGAAAATTAAAGTTCGCCTTCCACCCCCTACGATATTAAAGGTTTGTGCATTAGAGGTGTGTGTGTTTGTATACATACTCATGCAGTTAGTATAGCTTGCTGGTGCCTATAAACTGAGTTTGAACTCTACCAGGTTGAGTGTGATCGTGCTACAGTCAGCTTACTGAATGAAGGGTGGTAGAAACCCTGCTCTCCAATGAATACTCTGGCTTCCTTTCCCTCCTTCAGCCTGTCACCCTGTGGACTGGAAAACAGATCTTCAGCGTCATCCTCAGGCCTAGTGATGACAATCCAGTGAGGGCCAACCTCCGCACCAAGGGCAAGCAGTATTGTGGCAGAGGAGAAGACCTCTGTGTCAATGATTCTTGTGAGTTCCATGAACTGGGTTGGGGAAGGGGACGGTGCAGGAGAAAAGCAGAAGGCCAATTGGCTTTGTTGGTACCTTTCCTTGGCAAATAAAAAATCCAGTGTTTGTTAAAGTCCTTAGGCAGGAAGTTTACATCTCCAGAAACTAGCTGATAATGGTCCTCTCAGATATAATTTATCCTTTCTCTGAAAGATAAGCTTGTCCACATGTGATCTAGTGGTTAGAATCTTCTCTCACTATTTTGTTTTATTCACCTTTGTTTCTAATTTTATTCCCAAGCTGCTTCAGTTTAATTAGCTGCAAAGAATTAATTATATTTAAGTGGGAATTTAAAAGAGTTGCAATGTCCAAAAGGCCTGGGCTTAAAAATATTAGAGATCTAAATTTTATCAGATAGTTTTATAAACAAAACAATCTTATAAAGCAGTCATAATGTAAAGTAGCAGCTTGAGGTAACTTCTTCAGGTTTATCTTCTTCAGAAGTTGACCCACATCAGTTGGCCTCATTCTTTGAAGCTTCATCAAAATTTTCCAAAAGATCTGGACCTTCATCATCGTCGTCATTATCTTCTCCAGTAGCAAGTGGTGCTTTTCCATCCACAGATTGTCTGGGCGGGCTTCAGCCTGTTTTCTTAAACTGCTCAGACTATCTGCACCTAGCAGGTGTGAGACTGGGTAGCATTTCTGTCTGCTGCTGTGTATCAGCATGGTCGGAATGGTGAAAGGCTTCATTGCAAGAGATGCCTAACTTTAGGATTGTTAAAGTGGATCACTGTTCCTTGATTTGTAAACATATTCACCTCTTCAGTCCCAGAGATTGTTTACTCCTCATTTCTTAAAGTAGAACTGAAATTTTTTGTCATCTGCAGAGGGCCGCGACGGCTCGCCCCAAGCCAGGGGCCGAGGGTAGCCCGCCCCAGGCAGAGGGCCGCCATGGCTGAAGTAGTCTTTTTTTAAAAAAGAAGAAGAAAAAGTGTGTGTGTGTACCATCAAATTGGATCTGACTGGTACAGGAGACTGCCCCTCCTTCTCCAGCAGAGCATGAAGTAGAGTCTGGGTTCCCCGCCCCCCGCCCCCAGGTGCCTGTCGGGGCCTGGGTTTCAGCTGTCCACACCACAGCAGTGGACAACGAGCTTAAAGCCCCTGATAGCTCTGGGTGCTG